AACCGTAAACTACCTCCTTCCTAACTACTTTTACTTCGTCTTCTACTACTACGTAACGTTAACCTAACTACTACTGCGACGTACGTACGACACGACGACGACGTACTACCTCTCTCTCTCTCTCTCTCTCTCTCTCTCTCTCTCTCTCTCTCTCTCTCTCATGTCTGTATGTGTATATGTATATGCGTGTGTACCTTTCACTTAGAAATAAATCTAGTTATCTGCAAAATAGAAAAGGTAACATATGACCATAATGCACGACCCTTGTAGTCCAACAGTCCAACTTAAGCATCACCTGACCCAAGCAACTAGCATGTTATTCATTTGCCATGCTTTACTCAATGAAAAAAAAAAAATTGCCAGCTATTCCTTTCAGCATTATGCCAAGACCTAATATCAAGGGTGCATGAGTGACATGTCCCATCAGAAGCAAAAAAAGTAAATGCCTGCCATTTGACAAGCATTTAGAGCACTATCTCATATACAAGGTCACATAAGTGTGAGAGTTGCATACATCTCATGATAAATGTGTCTAAGACACAAGGTTCAAATGTGTCTAAAACACAAGGAATGGGATTCACATGTGCCTCCTTGGTGCACCATCAGAATCACATCAAAATTGAACTAGCCACGCCATGCAAATCTGACAACCATAACAATATGCTTCCTAGAAATGTCAGCCCCGGCCTCTATTAGTATTTCGACACATATCAATGAGGAAAAACCTATCAAACATGGCCCTCAGAGCCCAGAAATGGACAGGTAGTGTTTCTCATCACAAGGTTGATATGATGCGTGTCTCATGATAAGCCACATAGTGTCCCCTCATTAACTTAGTTTTTTATTCTTTAAAATTAAGTCAGAAAAATGCAGTGGTTGAGTTCTGAACTCATGATCCAAGGTGAGGTTAAACATTTAAGAGAGTCCATTCCCAACCTCAGTGATGCATTTATTTATGACATATTTACCTTGCTCCAATTAATATTGCTTTTAAATGAACAAATTAAAAGTTTGATGGAGTCAGTTGCAAATAGAGAAGCCCACATTCTCTCTCACATCAATAACTGGAACTTTAATGACCAAAATACATACAATTCTTAAACAGGAGAAGAGTCTTATATCCAAGTTTATATTATCCACGAGACTCATAAATCACTCTTTTATAACTGGTCCTAAATCCAATAGTGTCTACTAAAAATCCCCCAACAATGCCTAGTAAATATAATACTTTAATAAAGAGCTATGAAATTTATAATTAATAGTGATTTTCCATAATCTTACATATTTCCATTTATTTTTATTTTTAATTTTATTTAATATATGTTGGGATTAGTGATTTTGAAAGGTTGTGAGCGCATGTCATCATCATCATCATTATCCGAGCCATTTTCCAACTATTTGGAGTCGGCTTCATGAATCATGTTCCGCCATTTAGCTCTCTCAAGGGCCCTACCCTCAATAAGACCATATGTCAATCATATCTTTTCTCATTACGTCTATCCATGTCCTTTTGAGCCTTCCCACCTAGCCCTTTTAAAGCCTTCGACTTGAACCAAACCGCACCTACTAACCAGTACTGTATTAGGTCTATGCTGCATATAGCCAGCCTACCTAAGTCTACTTTTCCTTATTTTATCACCTATTGAAGCCACACCTAAATTCTCATTTTAGTATCAATCCTTTCTTGTCTTACCACTCATCCATCTCAACATCCTCATCTCAAATAAACTAAAAGCTATTAAAGCATGTAATTAACATTTATTATAGATTATACACATCAGTGGGAGTGTGTATTGCTCGACTTAAGTGTAAGGCAGACTACGGACCTGGTCATGTCCAAAACCCTTACCCCTTGATACTGGATCAGGTGGAGTGTCATTACTATCACTTATTTTGAGCCATTGATACAAATCCAATTTTAGATATTTTATTTTCAGCATTAGAAATATTTCTGTGAATTTTAATTGTTTTAGAACTTTCAAATTTATTTCTACTGTAAATTACTTAAAAAAAAGTACTTTTGAAAATATGGGAATATGTAAGGGCACATGTGGGGGCCATGATCCAGCCCCACATGTATGCCACGCCCCATGGGTGGGGCGTGGGGCCCATGGGGCCCAAATGTCACCTATAGGGGTGGCACGCCCCTCTTCTTCATTATTTTTAGAGATTATTTTATTTAAATAAGATAATTTTACTGTGTCCCTATTTTGTAGGACAGATGGCTCAGAATATATATAAATACTATCTTTATATATTTAAGTAAGTGCACAGATGTATTGGGCCCTTGTCTTGATTTGGGGTCACGATGTCTGAAATGTTTCACCATATACATGTCTAAGTAACATAGAACATAGCAACCCCAACAATAGATAATGGTCGCATGATACCTACCACTCAATCCCAATGGCCATCACCATTGCTTCGTTCTAACACAGCTATTCACTCATTATAATGTTAAAATGAAAATAATGGAAAGACAAATAAAGTACATACGTTACAAGAACATGGGGTGCCCCAAACGTACACCACTACCATGTTAGGTGGTATTAATGATGTTCACGCCATGCTGGTCATGAAAGAATCCTATCATTGGCATAATTAAATTAGCACAGAATGGAAGGCGGATTTGAACTCATTTGAATCTCAAATGTTGATTAGCTTCACAATATCCTAGTAAAATGAGGTCCCAACAACCGAAAGGCCGAAACAAGGAACCAGGTCACCAGTAAATAATATTAATTGCTTTTGGCTAAATAACTATATGCAGGACATTACATCATAAAACAGTTTTTGGAGATAGAAATTTGAATCAAATGGGAAGCATCAAAAGAAACCATAACAATAAAGTTCTGGTCAAAAAATGTTCTCTAAGACTATGATGATCAGAATTGTCGGATGTATTTAAAAGAACCACATTGAAAACTTGTTCTCTTCTAGAAATGTTTGAAAAAGAACCACATTAAGAAAGTATGGTCTATTTTCCCGAAAATGTCTTCTTTTAAGTTTTGACTTTTTAAAGAGTAGATTTTTATCATCTTAAAGCAACAATAAATCCCAGAGAGAGTCACATACTATCTCCTAAATATTTTCCACCTTTTTTTAAGTGGAGAAATATGACATTTGTACCCCAAGATAGATGTCCTGCTGGTACCCTCAGTTTCAGGGAAAGAGAAACAGACACAATGTCACAATTGCCTAGACAACAAAGGTGATTGCCTTTCAAAACAACAATAATAACAAGAAACATATCGTCCAAACCACACCCAAACCCGCTGCAACCAACCGACCTACCCAACCACCCACACACAAACACACACGTGCACAGAACAAGCATAGACTTTATATTAGTTCCAAAATTAGAACCACACACACAAAGGTAATAGAAATCACTCCAAGATTTTAGTGATGGGAGGCTATCATTATTCATGTATTCTATGAATTTCATATCTCATAGGTGATGATGGCGAAGGCTCAAGTTATGATCCTCTAAGTAGCTATGTGACTTTTTAACTCTCGCTCTTGTTTAAATCGGTTGAAGAACAGGATGCTGTCAATATTAAACAAGAAGTCAATGCCCTTAGCCTCAATATTTTCAAAAGATTCATGATAAATTGTCCTTATTTTTCTTTTGAAAATAATTTGACTTCATTGCAAATAGTCATCATTGCTTCTATCTGTAAGGAACGGTTGATAGCCATGCGACTCTACATGTAATAGGCACCATTGTTTAAATAAGGAAGCCAATACAGAGGTGGCCTATGGGCGCAAGATATGTCAAGTTTTCGATGCCAACGTGTGAGAAATGCCTCCATAAAGTGGATCTTGTTACGAATTAGCCATTGATGGAGTTTGTTCAATCAAGTTGCCATATATAAATTTACGTGCACATGCACACACACATATCCACATAAACTGATATAAACATTAAAATATACATATGTCAATAGGCGCATACATATACACATGCACATGTACCAGATTTTGATCCTTGCAAAACAGTTCCACGTGTTATGCCCAGTCCCCATCCATTATGTGGACCAGGTTGTTCCACAGCAACTGAGACTGCAACTACATCACCCTTCTCAACATGTGAACTACACGCCATGACACCAGGGACAAATATCTGCAAGGTGAATGAAAGCATAATCACAATTCACTTTTTGGTTAGTTACCTAACCACAATTCAGCAATTATGCGAGACAAATCATCAACCACAGTTAATATTTCCTCTCCTAAAATATTTATATGAAAGATAAAAAAGCAAAACTGGAAAAAGAAAAGGTGGAATTTTCTCTCAAAATGGAAAACAAGGAAAAGATGGATTATTACATGACTAGCTTCAAACCTGAGTACAAATTTTGTAATTGTAGGGGCTAAGGACTTTTTTAGCAAGTGCTATGTAGAATTATAGCATACAGCAACAAAAAAAGTATTCTTGATTATCTACACAATGAAAGGAAAAGAAGCATTAAATAATTATGCATGCCATACCATGAGGATTTTCTTCCCTGAAATCATCCTAATGGCGCATCTACAATGACTTTACACATGGATACAAACAGTTCCTTTTCACAAATCAACTATCTATCAAACTATCACATCACCTCTCTGGTTGAACTAATCATGTGAAACACATATAATCTACCCTCAAGATGAAGTGTGAAAGTGAAGCCCCCAGGAGTAAGATGAACTAGAAAACATTTAGAATCAAAGAGAACACCATCATATTTACATGATTTGATGTGGTATCAATTGTATTAAGACCAACTACATGACATCCATGTGTCAGCAGCCACATGACAACGAGAGTTCACGAATGCATGACCAGCTCTGCCAACTTTGTGCAATTGCTAGCATGTGCATAAGTGTGATACAGAGGGCTTCTGTATGTATATGAGGTTTACATCTGTAAAGCCAAAGAGATAACATGATAACATAGAAACTTTGTAATTATCAGTTACAAATTGCATCGAGTTTACTCATGTATCAAGCTCTCACAAGAAAAGCCTGTGAAAGCCAGCAATATGCAAAACACTGTGACAGACTAAGTCCTCAGGTTATGTCCATTGTAGAATACAGATGTGATTAACAGTTGATTATTAATTACCAGGAAGTTTCTTAATCCAATTGCAAGAAAGCCACACCCATCTTAATATACCTACAGCCTATAAAGGAGGATTGACAACAGTGCCCTGTGCAACTTGGACAGAAATGCTCATAGTTCTTTGAGTTTGTTCACACACCAAGGACATTTGGCGAAAACACAAAAATTATGTAGCATAGGTATACCTTTTCCACGAAATTCCACAAATGAAGTATTTAAAACCAGTGCTTGGAAAGTTGGACTCCCTTCATGTCTCACTGCATGCGAAGGGAGTCACACTCACTAAGGCTGCCCCGAGCTGGGCAAGTGGCACAAAAAAGCAACGAAAGGGGAAAATATGAAAAATGCAAAAGGAAAAAAAACTCATAAACAATAAGAAAACCTACATAACAAATGAAAATAGATAAAAACCTGTTGATAATAAACTATATCACAAATCTGACATTTTGAGTGGCTTCTAGAGGAAAATAAGCCTTTTAATAGAGAACCCATTGTTCAAAAAAGCGGAACGCCCAATGCCTAGGCGATCTAGAAGGCCTGGGCGATGCATCCAAACTGAGCGGTGGTCCCTGGGCGGCGGCCCAGGACCTGCACCACGCCTAGAGGCAAAAAAGTACTTTTTTTTTTTTTTTCGTTTATTTCAAGATATAAAAGTTTAGAATGATGGGTTTGAGGTTCATTTGAAACCTAAACCCCCAAGAAACCCTTTTAGAGAGAAAGAAACCTCCAAAAAACTACATTTCATTGGATCGAATCATCGAAGTGTTTCTCAAAGTTTGGTGTTCGAGCGCCCAAAGTAAGTGCAAGTTTTAAATTGCTTGTTTTATTTTGAGATGTCTTCTTCAGGAGTTAGCCAAACATGGATACAACCTGAATCCAAATGATAAAAATTGCGTTAGATGCAATTTTTGTGAAAAAAATACAAAAAGAGGCATAAACTTGTTTAAGAAACATTATTAAAGGGGATGTTGCCCCTTGTAAAAATATTCCCGAAGCTATCAAAGAGGAGATTAAGCAATTTATAAGTTATGTAAAACAAAAAACAAAAACAAAATCCTTGTCATAGATCTATTTCTGCTACTCCTAGAAAGAGTGATCCGAGTTGGAAGTATGGGTACAACCCAAATCCAAATGACAAAAATTGTATAAGTTGTAATTTTGTGAAAAAGATACCAATGGGGATATTAGCCGATTCAAAAAACACCTTGCAGGTGTTAGAGGTAATGTTGCTTCTTGTACAAAGGTTCCTGAAGCAGTTCGGGATGACATTAAACATCTTCTGAATTTTGAAGAACCAGAAAAGGATGAAAATACGCCTTGTTCTATAGAAGTATCTTCTCTAGGTGCTAGATGGAGTGGTGATCCGGGTTGGAAGTATGGTTATAACCCGAATCCAAATGATAAAAATCGTATTAAATATAATTATTGTGGAAATGATACTAATGGAAGCATTTACCGGTTTTAAAAACACCTGCCCGGCAATAAGGGGGATGTTGCCCCTTGTAAAAATGCTCATGAGGCTACCAAGCAGAAAATTATACAATATTTGAGTTCAGAGAAGCACAAAGGAAAGGCTAGAGCAGCCAAAACTCCTAGGGCCTCATTTGCACAGACTAGTAAGAGGAAGGTAGAAAAAGAGGAAGAAGAGGCAGATGCAGAAGAAACAGAGGAGGACAAGCGTTATATTGAAGAGGGAGATGACTCTGGTGATGATGGCCTCGACTCTGATGCATATGATGAGGCTTGCCCTATTAATATTCCTTTTGATAGTGATGGTGATGATGATGACAACAACTAAAGACTCTTATCTCTTTGTGCTGAGTGTTGAGTATGTTGACGTGTTGAGTCATGAGTGTTGACTTTTGTTATACTATATATTTTCTAAATTTTTGTTGTGTTGAGTGTTGACTTTTATATCCTACCTACAGTTGTATGGTTTTACAGATTACTTTTTTAACAATATGGATTATCAAAATTCTCTTCTCAACGTCTATCTTCTTTTTTTCAACTTGGAATATGGTATTATATTGGTAAGAATTTGGTATGGTTTTTACTTTTTTCAAATTTCAATTGGCAGCCGCCCAGGTTCTGGGTGCCCGCCTAGGCGCCCGCCTAGGACCCGCCTAGCGCTCCTTGATACACTGAGAGAACCTAAAAAATGGGCTCCTGGACGAGATTTTAAGCAAGATCAATCTAGGATTACGAAAGTTTCAAAAGCTTCCAAACTTCGTCCAACCAAATATGAAAATGGAAAATCTTGCGAAAAGCATGTTGTGGCCCGATCCAATGCAAAGGCTAAGTATCACATCATGGCCTTTGCAACATGTGAACTTATCTGGTTAAGAGCACTTCTCTCTTATAATTCATCTTGTTTCACCAATTCCACTTTATTATGATGACCACGAAGCTATACACATTGCATCTAACCTAGTTTTTAATGAGCACATTGAGATAATAAGAATTGAAAATGGCATTTCCTTGTTCTGATGTCCCATATCTTTGAATCATTAGATTTAGACATTACTTCTGTGATCCTTAATCATTCTGAAACGGTAGCAACATGCCTTTTGGTATTTCTTTATGTTCAAGAATCATACAAATTATTGATTCCCCCATAATACACTTTTGATCGATTCCCACGTAATACACTTTTGATCAAGAAAGAGTTTCGCCAATTTCAACAACTTTGCTTTTTGATTTCAAACTTGTTAGAATTTGACCCTTTCCTTTCCCTTTCGAATATCTATTTATGAAGTTATTCCAACTTATGGATTGAGACTAACCTTAGATCCCAACACCTGATCAATGAATCGATATTTGACTTTCAGCTCGAGCTCCGTCATGTACTATTTACTTATTAAATTACAACCCAATAAAAGCGGGTCCTATCCAAGTGGAACAGAACAAAGGTTGTTGAGTCAAGAGCATCTTCATTCATATATAAATGGTGGATTAATCCACAGCCGATCATGTCGTTCAAGTAGCACGTTGCTTTCTACCACATTGTTTCAAACGAAGTTTTACCATACTATTCATGATCCTAATCTTAGAATCGATATGAAATTTTGATTCAATTTCAATATGGAATCATGAATAATCATTGGTTGAATTGGTTTGGTACTAGTACATAATGCATAGTTTTTATTACACCTACCTATTTATCCATAGACATGGAAAGGTTCCTATCTGAAAGTATTGCCAAGGAACCAATTTGACTCGATTATATCGTATGAAGGAAATCTATTCTATAAAACAAAAAAATAAATCAAAGACATTTATGATATGAGAAAAACGAGTTGCGTAACACGTCTTTTTTACCATATTCTGTTCGGGACAATCAGTCATGAACGGTTCGATTCTTTCTAAAACAACGACCGATTGAATTGGATTCCCAATACCAGTACAGAATGAGAAATTAACTGAATAAGCTAAGCTATTCCAGTTATCTGAAAGGAAAGAAAGGTTGAAAATGGGATGTCATATATTCACCAATTCCACAATTTTTCCAATACCGAGGTACACAACACTTGCCCCCCTTGTTCAGTCAGACGCATGTAACGACACTCGTTCCCCTCGTTCAGTTAAACACATGTAGCGACAACGACAAACAAGACTAAGGAAGAGCTAAGCTATTCAGAGTGCTACAGAGCAGGACCTTGATTACCCAACATCACGATACAAGTTTTGCTCCTTTTCTCTTCTCGACTTGATCAATATACTGAAAATCAAGTAAGTAGAGCCATTTGATGACTGATAGAGGTGAAAGGGCTCTGAGCGAGTCAATTGTCAGCCCAATGGGGGTGCGCCAGTACTATACACGGATGTATGATGGTACTCTATGCAGATGTACAATCGTATGAAACTGTATGATTCTTTTGTCTCCATACTAAAGAGAAAGGGGGTCTCCAAATGAAACCGCTCCTCCTTCATCAAGACAGGACCGGCCACATTAAGGGAGACACACGCTCTTTCTTCTTGCTACACTAGACAGTTCTTCTCATACGAGAAGAGTCAGTGAT